CTTGGTGCCTCAGCAGTAGGTGGTGGTGAATACTGTAACCAGTCTTTCGCGCAGACAAGGGCCTCCACAATCTCCGGACGAAGAGAGCTCCTGTATTCATCAAGCATGCGGCTTCCTGTTCCGGCAGAGAATATAGAGCTCCCGCTGCTTACCATGGACATGGGGATGGCCAAGATATCACGGGCCATTTTAGAGAGGGTTGGAAACTTGACTGTGTTAAGCTTCCACCAGTTCAGAATATCAAACTCCTGGTGACGGGCAGTGAGGGATTCCTCAAAGTACTGTTCCAGTTCAGATTTTGAGGGCTGGGTACTCTGAATCTCAGAAAGGTACATATCAAAGTCCAGAAGCCCATCACCAGAGGCAGGAGCTCCTCCTTGTGGGTTATTCGCATTGGCAGGTCCATTTTCCCCTTGTACAACATAGGCTGGGGTCAATGGCGGCTGAGCTGCATACTCCTTATATAGCTCATTGACAGCATCACTGACCACCTTAACATACTTTGTAGCCTCAGCACCATAAATTTTGGAGTAACTGAACTCAACAAGCTTCATCTTGAAACGAGGATCCATGACGACAGCAATGGCTAACACAAGGCTACAATCTTTCCAGTACTTGTCAAATCTCTCATGCATATCTTTTGCTATGCTACTGAAAATGGGATCTTCATGACCTGTGGCGTTAGCAAGCTCCAGCTGAAGTTTCCATGCCTCATGGAAAAAGATATTTGAAGTTGGGTTGGCAGCAGCCATAATGCTATGTGCAGAGTCATAGAGCAGATTCAGGTAACTACAAGCTGCCTCAACTCTCTTCCAGTCCTCTGCTGAAGGGGCTTCATTGTAATTATCATCCTGTGTCTCTAGGGTAGTAAATGCCTGCCTGTAATCCAAGGCAGCCAGCAGCATCAGATAGGTGGTGTTCCACTGGGTTGTAACATCCAGACAAAGGGTCTTGGTACTGGGTATCTCAAGGTGCAGAGCAATCTCAGCAAACTTCTCTTCACGAGTTGGAGAAGCTTTTATGAACTTGATACTCTCACGGATGTTGTAGATCACACCGTGAATCGAAGCAATAACATCCTGAGCAACTACATTCAAGATATGGCCATAGCACCTCACAACAAACAGCTGTCCCTTAAGCATGAGGTTGTTCTTGTTGGAGAGATAATCCCTAAGATTTGCACTGTAGATATCATGGGACGAGCAATCGTTATCCAATGTGATAGTGAATAGTTTGTCCTTCATATTCCACTCCGAAAGGCTAGTGCTAATAGCTTCACTAAGTGCATTCTCCGAATGAGGAGAAGACACCATCATGAAGTTTAGCATTCTTCGGTGTACTTTCCACTCCGAGTCAATAAACTGCCCAGCAAGTGAAACATAGCCAAGAGTTTGACTGGTTGTCCAGAGTCCTATAGCGAGGCTAATCCTTCCGGGCATAGTGCTGAATGATTGCATCAGGTTTTGCTTCTCTTTCTGAAAAACAGCATACACCTCTCCTTCCATAGTTTCAACATCTGAAACCCTGAAACGAGGCTGCAGGCTCTCGATAAAAGCAGTAAAGGCTGATTGTTGAACAATGTGAAGTGGGTAGTCATGAAGAATGATCATCTTGGCCAGATATGAGCAACTACGGTCTTGATCAAAAGTAGCATTAGCAAAACCAGAATATCTGTAGCGTCTCTTAGAAGGACGTTCCACAGTACCCTCACCATCATTATCAGTGCCTCCTGCTGATGGCAGCGCCCGCTTCCTCTCATCGTTTTTCATAACAGGACAGGAACCAAGGGTGATATGCCTCTTCAAATGGCTAGTCCCTGCAATTTTTGTGCCAGAACTATATGCAAAAGTCTGCTTGCATAAATTGCAGCAAGCTCTTGCGTTTCCCCCTGGCATATTCTCTATGGTGAAATGCTCCCAAACTAGTGACTTCTTTCTGCGACGCCTTGATGTGGTTTGAGGGGTCATCTCAGCACTGATCAACTCGTTACCATGAAACTCATCACCATTGACCATGTCATTAACTTGACCAATCTCATGACCCTGCATCAACTCATTAACAGCAACCATCTCATTACCTTGAAGCAACCCATCATGGATCAGTCCGTCGTCATGGCACATCTCACCTTGAATCATCTCGTTATCATGAACCATATTATTTTCATGGATCACACCGTTCCCATCAACTATCTCACTGCCAACATGCATCATCGCACTTTCATTGTTGTTTGGTTCACCCATGCTGAGATGCAAGCAGATGGAGCGCAAAAGGCCTGTCAAGTCAAAATGAAAGGCATAAAAAGGATTAGATTAGATATAACATAGTTATATCCTAACCCTAAACAGAGATAAAGACAAAGTTGGCACAACAGAACAAATGCATATGTCTATTAATAATGACAAGATCAAACTGAACTCAGCAATCCCCAATATCAACTTTATCAGACATCGCCAACATTGAAGGATTTTCAAAAGATACAAGATTGCATAATCTATAGCACGGGTTGAGTATTACTCAAATCATTCACACAAAAAGGTGTACACAAGTACAACAGTAAAAAATGTATTGCAAGTGCGAGATAGATGCTATCAGTATTTTACACACACATCAGAAGTACAATAGAAAAGGGTGCCAACTTCACTAGATTGAGAGCAGAAAAAAAATAGTCCTAGGTATCTTTATAGAAGATCTAGACTAGGAAAAATTCAGTAAAATCGCAGATTTTGAAAGAATAAGATGCCCGCGCCTAACATAAGTTCTTCTGCACAAACAAAACTATGCTCATCCTACGCACAAAATCAGTCATGCTTGTCAGAATTTCCTATCTAAAAGATGAGATACATTGTTACAACACCGCAACAAAGCTGGCCTCCAGGCAAACTCATCTGACATCCAACCATCAGTACCCTTGAGCTACGAACAGTATGCATGAAGATGCACTAGCTCGGAACCGTTATTTCTAGGTGCTCTACACAAAACCTATTCAAATTCGGAAGAATTAATTCACGACGCGTTCTCTAACGCAACAGGCGAAGAGAACAATGCAACCATACAACATACAGTTTCCCTACTAACGAATTCAATGAATTTTACCCAATATTCCTCACAGCCCTATCCTACTGCCACTTATCTAGCTAAGCCATGTCGAACCCTGAAATTTCCATTCGAAATCAGAACCGTATCGGGTTTTCAGCAGCTTATTCCAACCACAGCCAGTGATAGACTCATAATCCAAATTACAACGGAATAAAAAAAGTGGAACAATTAAAAAAATTTAGACAACCAAAACTAAGCCATAATATGCTCGCAAAAGAGGTACGAACAAAACCCTATCTGACATAACGCACAATAATCCCATGCCCATCCAGAGCAGCCAGAAAGCCCAAGAGAAAATGCGCTCCAGAAATTAACACCGAACCAAACCATCTAAACCCAACACAATCCCCCGTCGTTGTCAAGCAAGCGCTCCTCCCCCCACAGATCCGACGAACCGAACACAACACAGCCCATGAGTCGAAACGCAAACCGCTACCAGATCTAAGCCCCGCAACCCGGCCAATCCAATCCAATCCACGAAGATTAGCGCAGCTACACGGTGGAAACGGGTGTATAAGCGGGAGGAGGAGGGGTTTGGAGTTTGAGGGCTTACGTACGAGCAGCGGAGGCGAGGCGATCCAAAGCAGAGACAGGGGCTCGGCTTGGTTGGTGGCGGAGGCAGCAGGATTAGGGCTCGGCCCAAGAAGGACGAAGGCCGGGCAAACCCTAGATCCGTCGCGCGGAGAGGACGGCAAGAGAGAGAAGAGGGTAGAGAGAGAAGGCGTGGAGCGGTTTGGTCTTTGTGGCTGCGGGAACGGAAAAGCGGGGTGATTTATTGGGCTCGCGGCCCACAGCCATGGGCCTCGTGAGCTGGCGCCGTTGTGAGGCTGTCAGTGGGCCAGGTGGGGGCCTCCCCGCGTGGACCGGCTGGATCTTAGCTTTCTTTTCCTTTGGGCGTGCTTATCTCGTGGAGGCTTGTTGTTTGTTTAGAGCAGGTATAATGGTGCCTCCTGAGCCGGCGAAATGCAAAGACACGTCGGCAGAATCCAACGTGGAAGAAAGATTAATGAACAGAGAGAAATGAGCGGGCGAGTGCCCAGACGCCCGCAGGAAGCCGGCGCAGACGCGCTTGTGGGGCCACCAGTACTGCTCCCTCATCTTTCATTGGCTGGTTGCTGCTGCTGAAGCAAAAGAAGAATTAAGAATTAGTAGGGCCCGCTATCAAAGCTTCCTTCATACGAGTGAGCTGGCATTTTTCTCCGCCGCCAGCAGGCGCATCCATTATCCTTGCTCTTATGGGATAGCGAGTGGAGCCAGCACGTCGTACGGCCTTGGGTTGGGCCGGCGCCGGAGCTTTCGCGATGGAGGTGTTAGTTTTTAGGGTTTTTATTTGGACCGTCCGATGGTCTGCCCCCTATCCTAAGAAAACGGGGTTAGTCTTGAAAACGGAGCGGATCTAAACAGATTCTTCAACAGGCATGAGATGTGATACAAAAGTTCAATCAAAACCGTTATTATCTACTAAAAGGAAAATTTATTATAGTGCTAATTAGTAAAGTATGCCATCCGTTTTTAATTATATGATGCCGTTGATTTTTTTGTTGAACTTTGACCAATAATATATATATAAATAATTAGTTGCTTAATGTGAAATGTATATTGTTGGGTCTGTCATCAAAAGCACTTTAAAATTAACTTATACATTTAGTTATTTGCACAAATATTTATGAATAAGACGAATGGTCAAAGTAACGAAAAAAGTCAACGGTGTCATATATTTAAAAACGGAGGGAGTACATGGTCACAGTTACTAATGGTTGAAATTATAGTACCAAATTAAATAAAATTGGGTAGTAAATAGTAGAGCGCACACTCTCAAGCCCTCTCCTTTATTCAGGATTATTACTTGTGCAAGCAAAAACAAAAGGTTATGAAATAAATTATAATGTTAAGCAAATAATCATGGGGATGTAGCTCAATTGGTAGAGCATTATTTAGCGCTAAATGAAGGCTTGGGGTTTGATTCCTCGCATCTCCAATTCTCTCTCTCTCTCTCTCTCTCTCTCTCTCTCTCTCTCTTGCTAATTTCGTGTATGTGGAAAAACATAAGAGGCGTAGCCCAAGTGTTATTCATTCTTGCGTAAAGAATTTACTAACTTCGACCTCAAATGTTAAGAGCAACGTCCAAATTACTACTGAACTAGTGAAGATTTAGGTGTGGTGGGAGGGTGGGGGCACGACCACCCGTGGCCACAACTAAGCTCTGCCATTGTATGTGAGGCAATTTGGTTACACCAAAAACAAGAGCAAATAAACAATATTTGGATTGTATAGTTATCAAATTTGTCGTAATGCCAAATTTTATAAAAAATCATGTGTATGACATGTGGGTTCCATTTATCATCGTTGTTTACATATTTAATAGTTTTCTTAGGAGATCTCGTTTTATAGTTTAACTACAACAAAACAATGGTGCATACAATGTACATTTCAAGAGGTTTAGAATAGTTTAAAACTGTACATGGTGACATGCCGTGCCAATTCTCCGGCATCATGTTTGCCCCTATAACAAAGAATTGAAACTATCTCTGTTGTATTTTGTAGAATGCGTGATCAGCCTTTGGTGTGCCTTAGATTCCTGCCGTATCTCGTCTTTAGACCGTGGCATCTTGATCAACGCTAACTCAATACCAACGTAGGACAGGAGCAATGAGGTAGGCAGGCAGCTCTCTTGTCAAAAGCCATGGGCTGGCTTCAAAACAATTCTTCACAGATGCCAAAGATACGCTGTGAGATTACGACGAGTGTCTCACGAGATTACACTGGGGTAGATTTGAGACCACAGCGGCACATATCTGTCCTCGCAAGCATATTTTGTTCAGAAACAATGGCAGAACGTGATGTGCACAGAGCATACAAGTCGTATTGGTGGCTCGAGGGCCAGTTGGTCATCATACAAACCAAACGACATCATTACAAATCTGTCGGAGCACATTTATCACCATAGGCAAGCATCGCAATGCAGATAAAAAGCTCCCGTGATTCAATTAACTAGCAGTCGACACAAAGAGTGAAGTGACTGGATACAATAATTAGGCAGCATTGTACGGCTACACATTCGAATGAACATCAACCCATGGCACACATATTCGATCCATAATAGGGTATAAATTACAGCATCTCATACATCGTCACAGCTTGTACATGCCTATCGCCAGAAGAGTCAGCTGATACAAATTAAATCAAATACATAACAGGGATGAGTTAAACAGAGTTCGACAGAACAAATTACAGCTCTGAGAGATAATAGCCAGACAGAACACAATCAGTCTGCAATCTCAACCTACAATACTCCTACAGTTAAATTTACTAAAAGATAGCATAGATAGATTCATGCTTCAGCAAGGAAGCTGTGGTTTCTTGCCAAGCTACACTGCCCCTTCTGCCTTCACAAGTGCGGAGCTTGCCGCCTCAGTAGTAGCCGGTGGTGAATACTGAAGCCAGTCTTTAGCGCAAACAAGAGCCTCCACAATCTCCGGCCGGAGAGAGCTCCTGTAGTCATCAAGCATGCGGCTCCCTGTTCCTGCAGAAAATATAGAGCCCCCGCTGCTTACCATGGACATGGGGATGGCCAAGATATCACGGGCCATTTTAGAGAGGGTTGGAAACTTGACTGTGTTGAGCTTCCACCAGTTCAGAATATCAAACTCCTGGATACGGGGAGTGAGGGTTTCATCCAAGTACTGTTCCAGTTCAGATTTTGAGGGCTGGCTACTCTGAATCTCAGAAAGGTACATATCAAAGTCCAGAAGCCCATCACCAGAGGCAGGAGCTCCTTGTGCGTTATTAGCATTGGCAGATCCATTTTCACCTTGTTCCACATAGGCTGGGGTCAATGGCAGCGGCTGCGCCACATACTCCTTATACAGCTCGTGCACAGCATCATTGACCACCTTAACATACTTTGTAGCCTCAGCACCATAAATTTTGGAGTAGCTGAACTCAACAAGCTTCATCTTGAAACGCGGGTCCATGACAACAGCAATAGCTAACACCAGGCTACAATCCTTCCAGTACTTGTCAAATCTCTCGTGCATATCTTTGGCTATGCTACTGAAAATGGGATCTTCATGCCCTGTGGCATTAGCTAGCTCTAGCTGAAGTTTCCACGCTTCATGGAAAAAGATATTCGAAGTCGGGTTGGCTGAAGCCATGATGCTGTGTGCAGAGTCATAGAGCAGCTTCAAGTAATTACAAGCAGCCTCAACTTTCTTCCAGTCCTCTGCTGAAGGGGCTTCATTGTAATTGTCATCAGATGTCTCTAGTGTAGTAAACGCCTGCTTGTAATCCAAGGCAGCCAGCAGCATCAGATAGGTGGTGTTCCACTGGGTTGTAACATCCAGACAAAGGGTCTTGGTACTGGGAATCTCCAAATGCAGAGCAATCTCAGCAAACTTCTCTTCACGGGTAGGAGAAGCTTTTATAAACTTTATGCTTTCACGGATATTGTAGACGACACCGTGAATTGAAGCAATGACATCCTGTGCTACAGCATTAAGGATATGGGCATAGCACCTCACAACAAACAGCTGTCCCTTAAGCATCAGATTGTTCTTGTTGGAGAGATGATCCCTTAGATTTGCACTGTAGATGTCATGAGAGGAGCATTCATTATCCAGTGTGATAGTGAATAGCTTGTCCTTCAGATTCCAGTCAGAAAGGCTCAAGCTAATTGCTTCACTAAGTGCATTTTCTGAATGAGGCGAGGACACCATCATGAAGTTAAGCATTCTTCGGTGTACTTTCCACTCCGAATCGATAAACTGCCCTGCAAGAGAAACATAGCCAAGAGTCTGACTAGTTGTCCACAATCCTATAGTGAGGCTGATTCTTCCAGGCATAGTGTGGAATGTTTGGAGAAGGTTTTCCTTTTCTTTCTGATAAACAGCATACACTTCCCCCTCCATTGCATCAACATCCACAATCCTGAAACGAGGCTGCAGACTCTCAATAAATGTGGCAAATGCTTGTTGCTGAACAATGTGAATCGGATAGTCATGCAAAATAATCATCCTTGCAAGGTATTGGCAACTGCGGTCTTGATCAAATGCAGCATTTGCATAACCAGTGTATCTGTAACGTCTCTTAGTTGGCCGCTCCACAGTTCCCTCACCATCATTGTCTGTCCCCCCAGTTGAGGGTAGTGCAAGCCTTTGCTCTTGATTTTTGATCTTAGGACAAGAACCCAAGGTGATGTGCCTCTTGAGATGACTAGTCCCAGCAATCTTTGAACCAGAGCTGTAAGCAAATGTTTGCTTGCAGAGTTTGCAGCACGCCCTTGTGGCCCCACCAGGGGCAGCTTCAATAGTGAAGTGCTCCCATACCAAGGACTTCTTTCTCCGACGCCTTGTGGTTGGAGGGGTCACCTCACCCTCAACAGCCACCAGCTCATTTCCCTGCACCAACTCGTCACCCTGGGTCAACTCATCACCGTGAGCTAACTCATCACCCTGAGCCACTTCCTCGCCCTGAGCCACTTCCTCACCCTGTGCGACTTCCTCACCCTGTGCCACTTCATCCCCTTCGACTGCCTCCTCGACTGGGACAACCTCATTACCTTGGGCCACCTGATTCTCGTTGCCAGTTTCCTCAGCCATGCTGAGAGGCTAGGACTTGCGAATTCTGTCATACATGGCATGGTAAAATCAGAAGACATAACCAAAAGGGGGCCAAAATTAACGGCAATCATGTGATAGATCAATGTACTGAGCACGCTATAGACCTTAGAAATACAGGGGTAAAAAATCACGAACGTTTTAATCCAAGTAGCAAGAGCAGAACTCACAACTCAAATGAGCAAGACTGCTTTGCAATTTGAGCATCACGTTACGTCACCAATGAATTTCAGGGAGAGCCACCATGGTAAAGCTGATTAGCAGTCCACAAGTAGAACTTGCTCCCTCACGGATCAGGTTCAAGCATAAGCGCACAACTAAGTTACATCCTTAGTACCGTCAGGCCAAATAAAAATAACTGCCGCTTCACTGGCAGGCCATAGAGCATCAGGAGTTCCACCCTTAGCTGCATGGTATGGTTTAAGCTACACAGCTTCAAAGCTACATACAAGACATGGCTTAAGCTACACAGCCTCAAAGCTACATAAAAGACATGGTTTTTAAGTTAAACAGCTTCCAAGCTACACACAAGACATGGTATAAAGCAACAAAAGTTCAAACGGAGCTAGCAGCTAAACCTTAGCTAGTGAGCAGGACACAAAATTTTACATGACTAAGTGCGCGCAAGCTCCCAAAATTGAATACAGTTAGCACTACTAAACCTAATTGCTTCCTAGTTCCTAAAATCCAACAAATCAGGCCGTTCGCCCGACCGCAACTCCCCTGAATTCCGGTCATGGCACCTGCGGAAAGACCAACAACAAATCTGGCCCATGCAGTTATAAAGTTTTCTACTCACGGATTCGAGATCCGGCTGAACAGAAAACCGAAGAAGCAACCGCTTCCATAGAGACTACAGTCCGGAGCAGCAGACGACGCCGGTGAAATTTGCCAAAACCGGAACAGATCTCCGGCATGGCCCACGGCGGCCCAATCCGACTGCGCAAAACCCTTCCAAATCGCGTTTTAAACGCACCAAAAAGCCCACGAATTCGAAACCCCGCGCCTCGTTTCGCGCAGATCCAGGCGAACCTGGCCCGAACACGAGCGGATCTACGCGCTCAAACGGAACGAAATTAAATCGCGGGAGCGGGCGCGGAAGAGGAAGGATAACAGAAGCGGAAGGTGGTGATTCGGAGAAGGAATTAGGAGCTTACAGCGAGAGAGGAGGGAGGAGGTGGCCGAGATCCGGGGTCCGGACGGATTAGCGCTAGCAGCTTGCTGGGGCTCGGCCCAAGAAGCACGAAGGCCGAGCGAGGTAGATCTGGATTTTGGGTGGAGACGAGGAGAAAGGGGAGAGGGGAATGAATGGGAGAGGTAGGTGGTGGCGACCTGGCCGGGTGGGGGAGGAAAAGCAAAGGGA